TGTAAGCCGCCATCCTGCGCGCCCACCCTCAGTGAGTTTCCCTGGCCAAGTGTGAATTTGAACCCAGGCCTCCTGATTTTGTGCCTGACACACGGTCCACAACACAGGACAGGCTGTCGGGCATCTTTTTATTGCCCCCCCCCAAAAAAAAACACCTTCAGAACAGGCTAGCATCTGAGCCCTGCCCAAAACATTGGGCTGGAAAGAAAACAGCAAGAAAAACATCCGAAAACCCCTTTGTCAGAAGTTGAGGCCACTATGAATAAATGATCTTTGTGAGCAGCGGACACGTTAAGTGGTAAATCTATCTGGTCAGCTCTTTCAAGTGTTTTTTAAGTTTAAAAAAATGGTTTGGGGCAGGGGTGGATTGGAGTCACATCGAATTTATTTAAATCATGATTTAAATTTTTAAAAATCGGGGGTGGACAATTTAAATTTTAAAAAATCAATTAAAATTGTGATTTCAAATATTAATTTTTTAAAAAATCATTGGTTTTTTTTTAAAAAAATCAGTTTTTAGAATTTAAATCATGTTATAAGAAAAGAAGCCATTCACACACCCCAAAATAACAGCTGTTGTGGGGGGGCCAAAAAAAGGGGTGGCCTGTCAGGTCAGATCTATGTGAACTTCAGATGGGAGGTCAGTCCCAAGAGTGGACGCTGTGAAAGCACCATTCAGACAATTCATCTGAAAGAACTGATTATTGCCTAGCCAGACATTTGACTAGAAAAAGCAGGGGCCTCCGTATCTTTGCTTTCTCAATATATTCATTTTCAGTAAGCTGCAGAAAATGCAAGGAGAATAAGCCAGACAATTATTAAATCTGATACCTTATATATTGCTATATTTATTTTGAGTTAAACCCCATCTTTATCTCAGCATCGTGTCCTTAAGATAGCTGTCTCGGCACAGCCTTGGGTCATATGGTGAGCGGTATATTTGTTTATATATTTGTTTAAATGACCATATGCATATATTTGTTTAAATGACCATATGCAAGAATAAGCCAGACAATTATTAAATCTGATACCTTATATATTGCTATATTTATTTTGAGTTAAACCCCATCTTTATCTCAGCATCGTGTCCTTAAGATAGCTGTCTCGGCACAGCCTTGGGTCATATGGTGAGCGGTATATTTGTTTATATATTTGTTTAAATGACCATATGCATATATTTGTTTAAATGACCATATGCAAAATTAATGGGACAAGGTCCTGTTTTGTTTTGTTTTGTTTTGTTTTTTGAACCTGACTGGATAGCTCAGTGGTTGAGGTCTGTGGAGCCAGAGGTTGGGAATTCGATTCCCACACTGGGTCTCCTTGAGAGAAGGGGCGGCCCGGGCCGTCCCAGAAAATGCCCCTTAGAAGAAGGGAAGGGGGGAAACACTTCTGAGTATTCTCTACCTGGAAAACTCTGAAAAGAAGTCACTATAAGTGGGAATCAACTGAATGGCACAAATTTTTTTTTTTAAAAGGATGTCCCCTTTTTGGTGTTATGGCAGCTGGAAGGGGTGGAGAAAGGAGGAGGCAGGAGGCATGCTGGGTTAGCACAACCCCCCCCTCCCGCCTTGCACAGGGGTGCCAAAGCAGAGCAAGGAGGGCCTTCCTGAGCATTTGGGGGCATCCCCGGTCGGCATCCCTGGGTGCCCACTATAGCCTGGCTGTCCTTCTCTCATCCCGGAGCAGCCAAGGCCACACTGGAGCGGCCTGTGTTTGCGGTTCCCTGTTTTCCATTTGTCTCAGGTGGTGACTTTAAAAAAACAAAACGTTTGTCAGAGAAGCTTTGTACATTTCATTCAGCTTGAAGTTGCAGGCGTTTCTAGACCAGCACAGAGCGGGGAATTGGGGGGGGGGCTTTTTAATAGGCTTCGGTGGTGTTATAGCGTTGATGCTGACCGTAGAAATTGTAGGACTGAGAAGAGAGCTGGCGTTTAAGCTTCAGGACCAGCTCTCGCCTACCAAGGGAACCTTGACGGCATTTCCCAGCACGCTCTCTGGAGGGGCGTTTAAGACCCTACCTGTAACCTGGCCCCTTGCCAGATGCTTAGAAATTCCATCATCCAGTCCTGGGTGGGGAGGATGTGATCCGTGATCTTACCTCCCAGAAAGAGGTTTCCTGCTCTTTTTCGGCCGGTTGGCACGAGTCCTGCCCTTCAATGCCACCTCTTCCTTTTCTTCTGCACACACACACCCCACCAAGATGACATCTTCTATTCACTCCTCCTTCAGCACAAAACCTGGACAGTGCAGTCAAAACAACTTGGGGGAAGTACCTTATAAAATTACCCTCCATCAGGTTAGTTTGGATACTTTCTCCCCCCGCCCCCTGAAAAAAAGTTATTCCGTTGAGTCAACTCATTGTCTCCCGGCTGTAGCCTTACACTTTCAAGAGTCAACCAAGACCCTCCTGTTTCTGAAAGCCGCCATCCGGAGCAACCTCCTGCCCCCTTGATACCGATACGGATGCTGCCCCCCCACCCTCCAGGTGACCCTTTCACACATCCATGGGGCAACGGAGTCTGACGGGCTCCTGACCTTGGCTCTGCATCCACCCCACATGCCCCACACCCAGAAGATTCCCAAATGGAAGGGGATGGAGAAAGGCAGAGAGAGAAAGAGAGGGGGGGGCTCCTTCTTGTTTGGCAAGGCAGATGCCAGCTAGGGCTAAAATAAAAGCAGCTCTCCGGCCCACCCCCAGATCGTTCCAGGGGGGTGGTGGTGGGCCAGTCTGGTTGGCTCTAGGCCGAGAGTGGCCCATCCTCTGGCATTTCAGATATTTTGGACTACAACTCCCATGGTCCTTTATCGTTGGCATCGAAGTCTAAGCTCCTGGATCGCCAAAAGTTCATCCCCGGGCCTAAAATCTCTTTCAGTAAGAGAGCCCGAAGTCCTGCGGGAATAATAAATAATATTAATATTAATAATAATAATAATAATAATAATAATAATAATGATCATCATCATCATCATCATCATCATCATCATCATCATCATCACCATCACCATCATCATCACACCAGGGACAGTCAAATTTATAAAAACATTGACTGGTATTATAGAACAGATACAAGTTTTAACCAAAAACTTAGGTATCTGTTAAATATCGATGTAGTCGGTATGCAGTTCCTAATATTGCTGGGTTTTGTAGCTCTGATGGTGCGGTTTCTGAGATCTGCTACTCCTTATAACACTGTGTGAAGTTTCTTGATGTTGTTCCCAAAGCCCGATGACTACGGGGACCACTGAAGTGTGTTTCTTCCACAAGCGAGATGGTTCAGTGGCCAGGTCTCTGTACTTTGATCGTTTTTCCAGTTTTTTTTTTATTTTTGACTCCAACATCCCCATGGCCAGGTCTCTGTACTTTGATAGTTTTTCCAGTTTTTTTTTATTTTTGACTCCAACATCCCCTAGAATTGCAATGTCGATGATCCGGACATTTCTTAGTTCTGTTACTACAATGTCTGGTGTGTTATGTTCATGGTGTCTGTCTGTTTGGATCCTGCAATCCCACAAAATCTTGACGTCCTCATTTCTGACACCTTCTCTACTGATGTTTCCATGGGTTTTTGGAGGCCGGCATGTTATATTTTTTGCATAATGACCCGTGCACTAACTTTGCCACTCTATCATGTCTAACTTTGTAATCTGTTTGTGCAATCGTTGGACATTTGCAGATGAGGTGTGACACAGTTTCATCTTTTTCTTAGCAGAGTCCACATTTGCTGTTAGCACTAAATCCTTGGGTCTTAGCAATCATCACATTGGTTTGGAGTGCTTGTTCATGGGGAGCAAAAAATCAAGCCTTTGGTTTCTTTCTTAAGGGTCCCTTGTTGTTGTTATCATCATCAAAAAAATATCAGGCACTGTCAATCAAAGTGATAAGCATTTTTACTGGTATTATATAACAAATACAAGTCTTAACCAAAAAATCCCCAAGTATCTGCTAAATATCAACGCCGTATATATGCTGTTCCCAATATGGCTTTTTTTTGGTAGCTCTTATGATGTTATTTCAGAAATCTGCAGCTGCTTAAAATACTGTGTAAAATCTACTGATATTGTTTGCAAAACCCCATTTTTTTCGCTGTTTTATCGCTTAAAGCTCTTCTTTCTAGTGGCTTGGCGTCACAGGAGACCTTGCAATGGTTTAAGCTGGGAAAAGGAGCTCACAAGTGGCCAGGAAACCCAGTGGACCTCAGGATGGGCACCCAACGAAGGTGGCACCCAGTGCCAAGCGCTGAGGTTTCCTGCCCACGATCCTAACCCTGTAGTCCTCCCTCTCTCTCCATCTCTTGAGCCTGGGTTAACTCCCTCTATGAGCCTGCCGGGGATTTACAATCATCAGGGGGGGGGCTTCCTCTTGGTCCCACCATCCTCACAGATGCATCTAGTGGCGACACGGGAGATGGTCTTCCCTATGGCGGCTCCTTTAGACTCTGGAACTCCCTCCCACTGGAGGCCAGCCTGGCCCCGTCTTTGCTGTCCTTCCACAAGCAGGCAAAAGACCCTTCTCTCCAGGCAAATGTGCCCTCGGGGATTGGCTGCCTGAGTGGAGCTTTTTTTAAATGAACGGTTGTGCCTTTGTTAAGTGTGTTTGTAGCATTAGTTGTATTGACCATTCTAAATATAATATTCTGATTAAATATTTGTATATTTACTGTTTGTAGCTTTTAAATATGGTCTTTTTAACTATGAACGCCCCCCCCCGGGTTGTTTTTAAGGAGAAAAGCGGGAGAAATAGATAATTTTAAAGAGAGAAAGAAATCTCTGCAGGACAAGGGGTGGTGAGTGTATCTCTGCACGTGTGCCTGCAAAGGGAGAACGAACAGTGAAGTGGAGGGAATGTAAGTTCAGAAGTGGGCGATGCCTTTTATTAGACGATACCGCACCCCGGGGGAAATCAAGTCGGATGGCAAGCTTTCGATGGGGCCTTGCTCCCTCCTTGATCTCTGCTGCATTAACCCTGACCCTTCTCTCCCTTCTCGCCCCACAGATGTGCGAGGGGCCCCACTTCACCGCGCTCAATATATGCACTCTCCTTACGACCGACCTTGGAATCCCCGTTTCTGCATCATTTCCGGGAACCAGCTGCTAATGCTGGACGAGGAGGAGGTGAGGAGCAGGNGACACCCTTCTGAACCAAAGCTTGTCTCCCCCCCCAACCCCGGGAGCAGCCCTGTGAATGGCCCACCTTTTCTCTCCCTTTCGGATGCTATCAGAGAGAGAGATGGCAGGACCCCCCCTTTCCTCCCCTCCTCTCCCCCACCCCGCAAAAATGAGGTTGAGGAGCTCCAGCGCTTGGGTTGACCCCAGAAATGTCTCCCTTGTGGGTCATTCTGAAGGGTTGAGGGGGAGGAGACCACGGGATTCTCAGTCCATCAACTATAGCCCATCACTATTTCCCATTTTTAAAAAAAATGCAGGAAAGGACCCCACAGGAAAAGGAGAAACCCCCTGGTAGTGCCCTAGAGAGAGGGGGGAGGGAGGGAGGGATGGTTTGGAGCTGAAAGTTGGACCCTGGGGGGGGGACCCCTGTGCCAGGAGGTGGTGGGGTGAGAGAGAGAGAGAGAGAGAGAGAGAGAGAGAGAGAGAGAGAGCACGATGATGACGATGATGACGATGATGATCCTGTTTCCCTGGGCCCTGAAAGGAGGGTGTGCGTGTGTGTCCCTTTGCACCCCTTAAAATGCACCGGAGCCCAGTTTTGGCCTGGGGAAGACTCCGTCCCAGTTGAGGTCTGGCTAGCAAGAGATGGGAAAAGATCGGGAGAAGGGTCCAGGTGGGGGCTTTGAGTAGGGGGTTCCCAGCACAATCAGTCAAGAGGAATTAGGGAAATTCTCTCAGCATCATGAAATTTTTCCAACATGAATAAGAAAAAGAGGGAAGAAGCGATGTTAAAAAAAATAACACAAGGTGGTGATGATGTTCAAGCATCTTTCGTGGGCAATGGTCAGGTCTTCACAGAGATGTGGGGGGAGAAACATCTCCAATAGGGACACCCCCTCCCGGCAGTTCAGCTCCCCACCCCTGGTGTCTCCCTGGTAGGTGTATGTCTCGATGATCCACCGGGTCCCTTCCACCTATGCAGTTATAAGATGATGATGATGATGATGATGATGATGATGATCCTGTTTCCCTGGGCCCTGAAAGGAGGGTGTGTGTGTGTCCCTTTGCACCCCTTAAAATGCACCGGAGGCCAGTTTTGGCCTGGGGAACACTCCGTCCCAGTTGAGGTCTGGGTAGCAAGAGATGGGAAAACCCAGTTTTGGCCTGGGGAAGACTCCGTCCCAGTTGAGGTCTGGCTAGCAAGAGATGGGAAAAGATCGGGAGAAGGGTCCAGGTGGGGGCTTTGAGTAGGGGGTTCCCAGCACAATCAGTCAAGAGGAATTAGGGAAATTCTCTCAGCATCATGAAATTTTTCCAACATGAATAAGAAAAAGAGGGAAGAAGCGATGTTAAAAAAAATAACACAAGGTGGTGATGGTGGTTGTTATGGCAATTGGCCTTAGTTATATTATTTGCAATATTTCAATCCCATCACACACACACCCAACCCTCAAGAGTAGGGCTTGAAGCACTTTGGAAGCATCCGAAATGAAAACAAAACCAGTCAATCGAAGCATTATTGGTGTTCTTTCTTCATATCAAGAGGGCTGCGCTGCTGCCAGTGATGGCCGTATATGACATATAGGTGAAATTAAAACAAATTAAAACGGTACGGTAATTAGATTCTTTTTGACCCAAAGTGGGCCAGTTTTGGCCTGGGGAACACTCCGTCCCAGTTGAGGTCTGGGTAGCAAGAGATGGGAAAAGATCAGGAGAAGGGTCCAGGT